TGGATTTGAATAAGCAAATGACAAAATAAACATAAATGAACAAAAATATGCTTAAAATATTAAACCTCAATAACAAATGAAATGAATTTTAAACATTTTGGTCAATCAGGTTTGAAAATAATAATAATAGTAAACACTCACTAAGACTGTATGACACTGTTCTAAATACTTTCTAATAATTCATTAAACAATACCATAAGTGTTATTAGTATATCTATCATAAAGATAAGGAAATTGAGAAACAGTGGATTTAAATACTTTCCCGGTCACTTCATCAGTAAGTGGTGAAGCAGGAATTAAAAAGACAAGAATTTTGGCTTCAGAGCCTGTGCACAACCATTAGGCTCTGAGGCATCACTGAAAGTGACAGCACCCTGTGTTGGAAAAGGTACAGGGAACAGGCACCTCATTCATTACCTGGGAATATAAAATTATAAGATCTTTTATATTTATACCAAACACAAAACATTTGCATACTTATTTATGCAGAAATTCCACTCCCAGAAATTTATCCTATGAGAAAAGTTAGGGATATGCACAAAAATTCACCTACAAAGGTATCCATTACCTTGATCATAACAGCAAAAAACTGGAAAATGAAATGTCCAACTATGAGATTGATTCAGTAAATTATGATACATACACATAATAGAATACTGGTAGCCATTAAAACTGTTGCAGAAAAGTCATTATATGGAAAGATGTTCATGACAAATCACTGGGCCAAAAATTTATAAATTGTTATGCACAGAGGATCTCAATTTGTTGAAAAAAAAAATATATATATATATATATAATATATATAAGCACAGAGAAGAAAAAAATGCACTTTAGAAGGATGTACACCAAAATATTATCCTTGTGTGATGGAAATGGGAGTGATTTTTATTTTATTCTTTTACTTAACTAATTTCTAATTTTCTTATAATATATATATAAGCACAGAGAAGAAAAAAATGCACTTTAGAAGGATGTACACCAAAATATTATCCTTGTGTGGAAATGGGAGTGATTTTTATTTTATTCTTTTACTTAACTAATTTCTAATTTTCTTATAATAGACTTGCATAATAAGAAAAAGTACACCAAAGTTATCGAAAAAAGAAGACAGAAGGTCAGAGTGAGGATTAATGTCAGAAGCACTGAGTCATGTGGTCAGGTGGACACAGCGGTTCTAGGGCACAAGTTCCTTCTGCTTTTGTCCTCTTGTAAAATGAGAATAAAGTAATATAATACTTCGAGATCTGGAGAACAATTTAAGAATAATGGCTGTTAAGAGGATGGAGAAGGCAGGGGCAGACAGTTATTATAATGATACAGGCAAGGGCAAATTAGAAAACAGGTATCACGTGGAAACTGGGAATGGGTATCACGTGATTTGGCCAAGTCCCAGTGGCATGGGATGGTAGCTGTAGATCTAAAATGGTTTGCAGAAATTCATGGATCTTTACGCCAGCCTTCTGCCATTACACACAGCTACTCCACATGTCTACAGCCCTGGCCCCTTTGAATCACTGTTCACCTTCTATTATTTCTGCCTCAAAGCTTCTGTTCGATCATAGATTAGGCTCCTCATTACTTCAGTGCCTTCATATGAGACACCAGAAAGTGGGAGATAATCTCTATAAAGGTTTATGATCCTACTGTATCAGTGATGTTTGTAGGGTCCAGTGGTCTTCAGCATGCCAGGACAGCCCTCCAAAGGGAAAGTTGTTTCACTTCACACTCTCTACTACTAAGAAATGCACATTACTTTGTGGCCCTCTCCGGATTCTGGAGGCAACATGAACCCTTTCTGGGAACACTGCTCTGACCCATTTATTGGGTGATTCGTAAAACTGCCAGTTTTGAATGGAGCCCAGAGGAAGCTCCACAGCATGTCCAGGCTGCAGTGTAAGCAGCTCACCTGTTGGGTCATTTGACACAATAGATCCAATTCTCCAGATATTCATGGTAGATAAGGATGCATTTGGAGTCTCTTGCAGGACCCTGGCAATAGGATAGTTGCAGTGCAGACCCCTAAAGTTCTGGAGCAAGGCCATGCCATCTTCAGCAGAGAAAAATTTGCCATTTCTATAGCAGCTGGGCATCTACTGTGAGATCAACTGACCATTCAACCAGAGCTGCCCATCATGATCTGGATAATGTCACAAGCACTGAGTCACATGGTCAGGTGGACAGCAGCTGTAGGGCATAAATACAGATAAGCCTATTAAAGGCTTAGCTAAAGTAACCGCTTGGGAACAACACCCTGCAGAGTCGAGGCACAGAGTTAACCATGTGGTATACGCAATAAAACAATGGTCATAGATACAGTGCTTTTCCCTCATAGCCAGAATTCATGATTCTGAAAACTAAGAGGAACGAACTATAGAAATGATCCCTGAAAGTAAATAAATAAACACACAAACAAATCAAGGGGGTGGGGGGGTAGAACACAGAATAACCACAAAAATGCCTTGAACTATTTAAGGCAAGTGAACAGATATGATTGGGGGTGGAGGGGAGGAATGGGTAAAGGGGCATGAAAATCAACTACAATGTATACTGAGAAGTAAAATTTAAAAAATAAGAAAAAATAAAAAATAAATAAAAGAGAAAGCATGAATAAAAACATTTTAAAAAAATAAAAAATGAAAACCAAGAGGAGGAAGTAGGATTGGCCCCTTTTGCCATTCCAGTGACTCACTGTGGAATGTGTGCTTTCCCTCCCTACAAATATAGGTTCTGCTAGGTAAGTCCTGATTCCCACAGTGGGGTATGGGGAGAACACTTTCACCAGGGAAACACAATAATCTGAAGCTTTGACTATCTCCTGGTTATTTGGGGCTTCTTATACCTGGGACACAATAGATTAAAAAAAAAAAAAGTTTCCATATTGGCAGCAGTAAGAGACCCCGATTATAGGGAGCTAAGGCTGCTGCTACACAATGGGGGCAGGAAGGGACATGTCTGGAGCTCATGGAGTATCTCAGTGCTTCCAGTCCTATGTAACTGTAAATAGGCAATTGCTACAACAGAGCCTGATGATGCTAGACTAATTAAGGTCTTTGGAAATGAAGGTCTTGGTGACTCCATCAGGCAAGCAATCTAGACTTACCGAAGTGATGGCCAAGGAAGGGAAATCTAGAAAGCATGGTTGGGGGAAATGATCAATTATGGCCTCCAGGCCAGTTGCAACAGTGGACTATATACAGCTTGTGCCACTAACCATCCTATACTGAGTGTTCTGTAGAGATTGTACATAGCCATCACCTTGAAGGACACATTACAGGTTGAACATAATGTATGCACAGATCCAAGCGGTCCATGGGGTAAAGAAATTGTATACCTCTTGTGCCTGCTTCACATCCTCTTGGTCCACCTTTCTACTCTGATTATTGCTGCTGCTAACAGTTGCCTACAGGTGTGACCTGAAAATACTTCACCTCAGCTACACAGCACATCACTTGCTTTCTGCCCTAAACTTTCTTCCTCCTCCACGTGTGATGCCCATTTAAGAACCCAGTCAGCCATTCTGAGGCATGCCCATACATGGAAGTACAAGAGAATTGCATGGGCTAACTCTTGACCATTGGAGAGAGAATAAATATTTGCATTTTCCATGTCTGGAGGGAAAATTCTGTGGACACTCCACTAGGGCTCCTCAGAAGGTCTCTAACAGGAGCTCATCACTCTCAGAGGCAACAGGTCAATAGCACACACTTGGGCTTTTCCTGCTTCCATGTTTCACTCTTCCTAGTCTCCCACTGCTGTTCTTTCACAACACTTCCTAACATAAACCTACATACAAGCCTTTCTCTCAGGCTCTTTTTGGGGAAACCCAGGCTAATAGAAGGATGAAATGAGAGGATAGTCATGAATATGCTTTGAAAGCTAAAACCAACGTACATAAATCAGCCCTACAATGCATGCTGTTTATCTACAGCACTTAATTTTACTGTCTTTGTGATGAAATTGTCACCCTACTGTTTCAAGACTGAACTACAAGGCATGGTGTAGCTGTTATTTTATTGAGTAATACTGTTATTTCATTTTCATCTCCATGACCTTATGAGGTAGTAGGTATTACTGTCTTCTTGCTGTAGATGAGGAAATGGAGGCCCAGTATTCCAACTGCTAAACTCGAACGAGGATTCTAGTCTAGATCTGATCTGACCTCCAAAGCTCACGCTCTTAAGCATTATACTTCTGTTCCTCAGCAAGACCTCCACTCTGTCTTCTCATGTGACAGCAGCCCCAATCCACCCATACTCAACATACCCTGAGGCCCTTTCATGCCCCCATTTTGTCCTGTCAGCCTTGTGAACTTCAGAGCCTAGATCAAATGCCATTGCCCTAAATTCCCACCCATACTCAACATACCCTGAGGCCCTTTCATGCCATTTTGTCCTGTCAGCCTTGTGAACTTCAGAGCCTAGATCAAATGCCATTGCCCTAAATTCCTCAGGCAGAACTGCTTCCTCATCAGCTTGCTTACATCATTTTCCCAAATCTCTATTGTATTTTTTACACTGTTGTTACTGTTATGTTGCATTTACTACTGGGGCTGGGGGCCAGACAAGGGCTTAGGTATTAAATAGTACCAGATATGTAATAAGCACTCAAATAATACTCATTAATTGTTGAAAAATAGTTGTCAAAGTATGTACTCCTTAAGCACAGGCACTAAGTCAGCTTATTGACCATTGTATTCTTAGCACATAGCACAATGCCTGGCTCACAGTTAACACTCATTTGTTGAATGATTGAATGAATGAATACAAATCTGTTTCTTCATTAAACTGTGAGCTCTTAGAAAGTAGGGACTCTACACTGACTAGCAAATGTTTGCTGTCACTCTGGCAACAGTGATTCCCTGCCCAGGCCACTTCTGCTTCTCTGTTGTTAGAGTATTAATAAGTTTCAACCTTGAATCAAGGTAAAATTAAGAAACAGAAACTATTTAATGACTAACAGAAGATTTATTTAAGCAAGAATACACAGTCATCATTGCCAACTTAATATAAGAGGTTAAATGCTCGATCCAATTTTCCTTCCTGGATAAGTTTTTCTTTCTTATCCTGTATAGAAAGAAAAAAAAAAACACATTAAAAACAATGCATTCCAGCACAAGCCATGGTACAACTCTGGAAAACAGAATAAAACACCCTAAACTTAATTGCAATCCGATCTTCTAAAGCCCAGTGAGTGAGGAAGTAATAATCTGAAGAAGTAAAGGACAATAAGAAAACATTCCTATTCAAAAACATCTTACCCACATTTTAATAATTAGAAATATATTAACCCACTAAAAAGCAAACATTGAAAGCAAAAATGCAAACACCTTTTGCGAAAGTGTGGCCTACCTTTCTGTTAAGCAGATAATTTATTAGATATCTAAATACATGATCTCTAACAGGAGTGAATCGACCAGTTTACGACAAAGTTAGGTGGGTGGGCTCTAGTTAAGATGGCAACACAAGGCCTGGGGGCTGTGGCCGCAGTCCAGTACCAGCAATGGAATGGTCTGGTGCCAAAGATAAACTTGGCTTTCCCTGCAATCATAAGCCCCAGCACAGGCCACTTTTGCTTCTCTGTTGTCAGGGTACTAATACATTTTAACATTAATTCACAAAATGTGACCAACATAACTAGAATTCATGCAAACAGGGAACACATTAAATGATTTATATATTCTGATAATACTTGACCCAATAAACACCATCTCTTTTTACAACAAAGAAACTAAGAAAACTAAATTTAAAATGTGCAAAAATAATATCTAGAAGTTAATAAGAACGGAAAAGTTTAATTTCTGCATATCTTCTGATGAGAAAAAGAAATTAACTTTTTAAATAGTTTTTTCGGTATTCCTTAGCTTAATAATCACAGTATAATTTCCTTATACCATCTAAAAAACGCTAGGAAAACAATTTCATGAACTAAGTTCAAGTCTTATAAATTTAAATTGACCATTTTATGACTATAAATTCTAGAGCAGCCATTAAATTAAATTTGAAAGACCTAGAGGCGACCATGATTTTTAACAAAGTGTATTTCTATAAGAGTTGAAATAAAGCAATAATACCAATTGAAATCTCTGGTTTTTTTTATTTTGTTTTTTTCCAACTTTCCTTTCTTTTTTTAAAATTTTATCATTACACAATGTAATAAAGCTTGGTGTTATAATTCTGCACTCTAACCAACTGAACTAACCAGCCCTTGGCTGATATTTTAAAAGCAAAATTAGCACATTTCACACTATTAAAAGTTTTGTAGAAAGGTTAAAGTTGTTGTTAAAGAAAAGTAATTAGACTGTCTCCCCAGCTTTATTTTCTTATCACTTATCACTATCTAACATGTTAAATGATTTAGTTTTTTAACTTGTTTATTATTTGCCTCTCCTGCTGGAAAGAAAGCTCTACAAGGACAGGTATTTTCACCTGTTTTGTTCTCCATTGTACCTCAGAATCTAAAACAGGTCCATAACAGATCCTGAGCGATTATTTACTGACTGAATCAATCATTCTTAAAGAATAGGCAAGAGAATTTACATGTATTGATTAATAAATGACTGTGTCATGCATCATTTAATTAACAGAACCACCGAAGAGGCAGGTATTATTTTAAGTCTATTATACATATGAGAAAATTGAAACTGCCTGGGTCATAGAGTTAGAAAATAAAAGATCTGGGGTTTAAACCTCAGGTTTGTCTGACTGAGGTCTTACTCTTTTTTAGTACATCATACTATCTAGCACATCAAATCCAATCATGTGAGTATGCATATAATAAATGTGTCTCTCTTCACTTTCTTCCCAAGTAGACAAGGCTATGGCCAGAGACAGTACAGACAACTAGTTGAAAGCAGATGCTGTGAGTTACACAGACCAGAGTTCAAATTCTGCTCTATCACCTGCAAAGCCGGTACTATTGTATGAGCTACTTATCCTTCCCATGTTGCCCTTTCATATGTAAAATGGAGATGGTACTAGAGCTTGATTCTCTAAATAACTGTGATATTCGAATAAAATAATGCTCAGAAAGGTTTAGCATAATGCCTGGCACATTGTAACTTTCCTTCAATCCTCACAACTTCCAAAAATTACTATAGAACACCAATGCAATTGCTGGGAAATGTCTTTTTTTAACATCATATTTGACATATTTAGCTAGTTCTTGTACAGAAAACTATCTAAAAGCACAATTATTAAATAATAATCATCAGTTTACTGGGCATACATTATGTGCTGGGAATGTGTTGCACTAGGGCTAATGTCGGTATCCTGCTGACATCACCAACTGTCGAGCTTTTACCTTCCCCTAATCCTGCCAACTGGGCCAATTGTCGAGCTAGGGTTGGGTATGGAGCTCACAGACCCCTCAAGCCTGTTCACAGACTGGGTCACCAACCCCGCACACGCCAGGCTGGGTCACCAGACCCCTCACACGCAGGTCTATGTTTTAGGTAACCGGCAAACAGGTCCTTGGAAGCCATAGGATGGAAAGCATGGCTGCGCAGAGCACCGTCCATGTGCACTAACTCCACCCACACACAACTTGATTACTGAACCACCCCCAACCAGCCAGAAGCTAGAGGGCCTGATTAAATTGTTCTATTTTTCCAACAGAATGCTACATACACTGACTATCTCATTTAACCTCAGAACAATTCTACGAAGAATGCACATCATTTCCAAATAAACATCAGAAACCTATGATTAAGAGGTGTTAGGTAAACTGCCCACTGTCATATAGTTTGCCGTATGTAGTGTCTTGGGGTCTGACTCCAAAGCCCAAAGCTTCAATAAGCTGCAGGGTCTTTAAAAGACACAGGTTGAAGAATCACTATATTCCCATCAGGAAAGAGCAGTATCCCTATGAGCTGTGAACTGAAAGATAGAAAGCAGCTTTTTAGATTATATATATAGTAAACATTTTCTGAACAGTTACAAGCGAGGCACTTGCTAGGCCAGTCACGTGCCTTATCTCATTTAATCCTAACAACCTCATAAAATAGGAAGTACTATATTATGCCCATTTATTCAAATACGAAAACTTAGGCTATGCCGAGTTGAATAACTTTCCCAATTTAACCCAGACGATAAACGATCAAGCCTGGACTTAAACCCAGCCAGGTCTGAGTCCAGAGCCCGTCCTCTTGACCACCACGCTCTCTGGCCAAGGTCAAAGGCCTAAGTGAGTTGGCTTGCTCTCTGGATCTGGAAGAGGCACCGCATCTTAAATACTAACCGGGAACGGTGGCCGCCCCCTGCGTGGTCTCCGTTGGCCAGCCTGGGCTACCCAGCCCGAGCGCACCGCCCAGACTCCTGCCCCCGATTCCCTCCCGGCCAGCCCCCCACTTACGATGAGCCCTCGGCGGTTGGGGTCGTTGTACTTTAGCAGATACTCCCGTTTAAGTCGGGATCTTATGGCCAGCCGCTCGGCTTGAGCCTTCCGGGTTTCCGGAGATATGTCGTATTCGGCTGGGTCGAGGGTACTGGGCAGAGTGGCCAGGGACGACGGAACATATTTAGGGAACGACATCTTGGCGACCCTGCACAGAATCGCGCATGCGCAGCTCTGAGGCCCTCCCTCTTCTGACCTTCGACCACAGGAAGTGCGCCTGCGCGTTAACGAGAGGTCGGAGCTCAGCTTCTTTCCCCAAGCTTCCTCCACACGCCACACGCCCTCCCGCTACTGGTGACGTGCGCGTGCGCGATGTGCTTTTCTCCTTCCCCTCCCCCGCTCCCTATCCACTGTCCCTCTGCTGCGTCTTCCTAGCATCCTTATCTCTACCGACCTAGCCATATCAAGAGCTTATTGTGTGAAGGTGAGCTGTGTGGAACTGGCGGAGAGTGGGAAACGGGCTCTCTGGGGAGTCAGAAGTCCATGTTTTCAGTGTGGGTCTTTCCAAGCTGTGTGACCTTGGATACGTCACTTAATGTCTCTGAAATTTCCTTGTCCTTATCCCGGATATAATGACCCCTATTCTGTCCACCTAGTAAAGCTGATGTAAGGATTAAATACACTAATGAATAGATGCCAAAGTGCCTTGCAAAGCATAATTCTTTACCCAAGAGAAAGAAAATAAGCTTTTCTTTATGTCCACACAACGTAAGTCTAAGCTTATTTTGCATAGGCATAAAATAATGTTTAATAGGAGAATGGTGTTATAAGAAAAGTGTTGCCTTACTGACTGTAGTAGGTCCAAAATAAAGTGAGGTATGGGGAGGGCTTGTGAGGAAACAATATCTTAGTTAAAATACTAAAACCTCCTACCTTAAATCCTTAGCGCTCTTCAGGTGCAAAGAATGAAAAACATCCTTACAGACATGAAAATACACTTAAGGGCATTGTATCTTACTGTAATTTGGAGAGAAAGAGAAGGTAACTCAAAATGAAACCTTCTCCATCCCTATTGTCTTTCCCTCTCCCCCGACTACCACCAAAGGGAAAAAAAACCAACTTCAGGTTACACAGCAGGGTCTTTGGATACCAATAAGATACTCCTGAGAGTAAAAATGTAAACAGTCTTTTCGTAACTCAGGCAAAGAAAGCCAGATCAAAAGAGCTTCAGCTTGGCAGAATCGTCTGGGGACATGTAGGTATGTTGGGAAATGGTTGCTAGGCACACAAGGGACCTAGAAAGTGTTGGCACTTGAAATGATGAAGAGCAGCACTGCTGTCAAATTTATTCAATATTTTAACACCGTTTTAAAATATTTATTAAGCACCCACCGCGGGAAGCATACTGCACACTAGTCAGTCTTAGTCAATCTTCTAGGCTCAGTGGTAGAAATACAGAAGAATGCAGAACGTGGTGTTTGTTTTCCAGGAGCTGACAATCAGGCAGTCAGAAAGAATAGAAAGAATATGATAATATTTTCAAAGTAGTTTAATGTCCAAATGAATATAGAGCAAATGGATTCCTGAGAATGCAGTTTGAGGTAATGTAGAAAAAATAAATTTGAGACAAAAAAACTCACACTTGATTTTAAAGGATTAAAAAATAAAAAGGAAGTTCTGGTTTGTTCAAAGGTGTTTTGAAATATTAAGAAAATAAAAACATGAAAACAGGAACAGGTTGTAAAATTATAAAGTCTACATAAAGTTTCAAAAACATTTTGTTTATGGATTAGACACTGATCTAAAAAAAAAAAGCTCATGTAAAAAGAATAAAAGGATAAAAAAAGGAGTACAATGACTACAAGCCAGCTGACAAGGTTAAAAAAGATTTATTAAGGTTATGAGAGAGAAAGAGAGACTTCATCAAAGCGAAATTTTTGGATGAGTTAAAATGGTTATTCCCACACTTGCCTATTATCGTAAGGTCGCTTATATGATTGTTAAATATATGGAGTTTTTTAAAGTCCTAGTTTCTGTTCTGTTCTTGGAGATTCAGAATTGGTATGGCAGGGGAACCCAGGCGTCTGTATTTTTTCCAGTTTCCTGGGGGGATTCTTAAAAAGTATTGCGTGCTTGACAAACAGATGAATACAAAAGGTCTTCCTTTTCCCAAAATGATTGGTACCAGGAAAGGCCCTCTTAGAGTGAATCTATTTAAGATGGAAACTTAGATTCCCTAGTGAAAGAGAAAGACTTGATTAAGACTTTATTTCGAAAAAATTCAACAAAAAATTTTGAAAATGAATTTATATTATATTTAGCACATTTTAAGTTACAATTGCAATTATGTGCGAGTTCTGATAAATTGAGTGTTAATTTAGGAGGACATAATTTTTTTATATGGCTCACTAACCTTCACTTTGCATTTGAGTTTTGCAGCAGGGTCATATTTGCAAAAGTATTGAAGGGCATTACCCAGTTTTGCAAAAGTCCTCTCTCAATCCTTTGAAATCAAACAATTTCCTTTTGAAGCACTGATGTCAACATTCTTATTGATTTTCTCTTTTTCCTTTGTTACCTGGTCCACTTCTGTGAGATTCTCCTTTACTGATGGCTTTGCATGTGGATCCAGCAGTTTACCAGTAACACTTTTATTGATTTCATGAAATTCCTCATCTTTTGCCAAGATTTGAATTTTACTTTGCAATAGTTTTTTTTTTGTTTTTTGGGTTTTTTTGTATTCGAGAGCTGGATATTTCCAAATGAATGACTAAGACTTTGATAGAGGTGAGTGTAGGCACTAGAGTTAACAAATTGGACAATTTAGGTAGGGAGCAATTTCACAAGTTGTTATTTCATTAACAAACATTTCATTTTTGAAGAATTTTATGTCTCTAAGAAATCTTTTGTATAATTTATGTCTCGAAGAAAATTTTGTATAATTTTTTTCTTAAAGAAGTACTCCCCTCCTCCCAAATTATATACACTTCAAGTCCCATCAAACCTGGATCTTTCTGTTTGTCAGTCTTGTTAAGGCTACAAGGAAGAGACACAGAGTACTATGTGAATTAATTTAATTGACAAGGAGATTTAGGAACATGGTGTAGCAGGGAATATCATCTCTGCAGTTGTGTAGCCACTCTGGAACCTTGTCTTCCAAAATTGAAATGAACAGTAGTCCTAAGGGAGAATAAGAACAGTATCTCAGAGTTTTCAGGGTCCCAACTTAGCTCCAGTAACCCACTTTCTCTTTGTTTACCTAGTGTTTACTCTTCCTCCAAAACAGGTAATTAGTGGGTCAGTTTGACACTATTCAATATAGGTTGTCCCAAATCACCACATGGGAGGTTGACTTTCATTGTATCCAACTCTTCTGTAGCTCTGTTGACTTGAGCACTGTCCCAATCAGTCATGAGTAAGATTACACAACTGTTTTCGCCCCATAAGCACCTAAGTCACAGAAGCTTAACATATTTAGAAAAGACCCACATAGAACTACTTTCTTCAGAGTGGTATTGTATCCAGAAGGTGATTTGAGACTACACGGCTTGTCCATGACAAATATACTTTGCTTTCTGTATGTTTCTACTACAGCTTTGTAATAAGTCTTGTTATTTCATGGAGCAAATCCCTCCATTTTATTATAGTTCAAAATTGTCTTAGCTACTTTTGTTCCTCTTTTCTTTCAGATGAACTTTACAACTAAATCATCAAATTCCATGAGAAAAAAATCCATTGTAGTTTTGATTGGAATTGCACAAAATGTATAGTCTGATTTGGGGAAAATAGACATCCTTATAATAATACTGCATCTTCCTATCTGTGATCTCTAGTCAGATCTGCTTTTATGTTCTTCGATGATGATTTATAACTTTCTTCAAAAAGAATTCTCACCTCTTCATTAGATTAATTCCTGCTACATTATAGATTTTACTACTGTTTCTTTTCCTACCACATTTTCGAATTTTTATTGCTGGTATATATTATTGATTTTTGTATACCAATCTTTGAACCAGTATCATTGCTGAAGTTTTTATTAGTCCTATTAGTTTTTCTGTAAATTCTTTTGGGTAATTCTATGCAATCAGTCGTATCTTGGGCAAATAACAGTCTTGCCTTTCACCCCCCCCGCCCCAAATCCCATACTTTATTTTTTTCTCTCTCCTATGGCATTAGCTAGGACCTCCAGTACAATGTTATTTAATAGTAGGAATAGAGGGTCTCCTATCTTGTTCTTAACTTTAATAGGAAATCTTCGTTATTTCACCATAGGGTTTGATGGAAGCCTTTTATGACGTTAAGAAAATTCCTTTAAATTTCTTGCAAAAGTTTTTAAAACCCTGAATGAGTAATTGATCAAATGCTATTTCTATGTATTTTGATCTATTATCATACAGTTTTTCTCCATTAGTCTTTTAAAGAGGCAGAGAACCTTGGTAGGTTGTTCTGATATGGAGTCATTTTGCATTCTGGAATTAACCCTACTTCATGGCCATGATTTTTTTTTAAATATACTGATGAATTAAACTTGTTCACATTTTACTTAGAATTTTATCACATACGTTCATAAGTAAATTGGATCTATAATTTTCTTTTTCTTATTTTGTTCTTATCTAGTATTGGTGTTATATTTAAAGAATGACTTGGATAAGTTTTCTTCTTTTATAGTTGGGGAAGTACATTTACATAAAATGAATTTAATAGATTTCCTTTTTTTTTTTTTTTTGTAACTCTCCAAAACAGTTTGTATAAGACAGGGATTATCTATTCCTTGAAGGCTTGGTAAATTATCTTGTATAACTGTCTGGGTCTTCCATCTTTTTTTCAGGGATGACTTTTGGCAATGAATTAGTTTCTGTAAGCATTGTTGGTTGGTTCTGTTTTCTATTTCTTCCCTAATCAACTTTAATAATTTATATTTTCTCAAATATCTTTTTTGCTTATTGAAGCAATAACTTATTGCTATAAAGTTTCTAGTCTCATTCTACAATTTTTTTCAATCTTCACTGTCTTTATAATTATGTTCCCCTTTTAACTTCTCTTATTGTTTATTTATTGCTTCTTTTTTCCTCCATCTGTCCTCCTAGAGAATTGTCTACTTTGTCTCTTCATGGAACTCATTTTTAAAAAGACTTTTTTTGGAGTAATTTTACGTTTGCAGCAAAATTAAGAGGAAGGTACAGAGATTTTCCATATGACCTCTGCCCACACACATGCATAGCCTCCCTGGTTATGAACATCCTCCACCAGAGTGGTACATTTGTTACAATTGATGAACCAATGTTGACAAAGCATTATCACTGAAAGTCCACAGTTTACAT